ACTATGAGTGTTAAGATGGTAAAGAACAGTTCAGAGGTCTTACTGGGTGACCCTGGTTTACAGGGAGGCTACAACCCAGAGAATTATACTCCAGATTTTGTGTCTGTGTACATTTTTCTGAGGAGACAGTTAGAGCTCATCAAATTTTCTCAAGGACTCACCACTCAAAAAAGATTAAGAACCAAAAAGCTAGATGGATTCTTGCTATCACATTGTTCTCCCTGTTGAGATGTTCAGGTTCTGTGTATAAGAGTGACAGATGAGTTGATCTTTATGCAATGAGGTTCTCTGGGCTTTTTTTTTTTTTTCCCCTTGATGCTACCTGGGGCATTGGCTGACTCCACCAAAGAAGAACTTCCCGAAGAAATTATTAGGAAGACAGGAGAAGAGGAAGGTATTTAAGGGTCTTTGAGCTTTCCTCACCTGATACCTGCCTAGATGAAGAGCTGAACAAGAGACGAGGATCTCAGGAAGTTTAGAGACCCCCTCCGAGAGCTTTTGAGGGCCCCCGCGGTGGGCCACAGACTGTCAGCCTGGAGAGAAGCAGTCACAGATTCTAAGTCCAAAGGGATCAGAGGCTCTCACTTCAGCCTCCTGCCTGGTCTGGGAAATCTCTCCACCCATGTTTGACAACCCCTCATTGAGGCTTCGCTCAACCACTTCCAGAGAAAGGGAGCCCTTGACTTTGTGGAGAGGAAAGGGGTGGAGGAACTTTTTACTCCGAATGTCTGGCTAACTGGAAGTTTGCTGAACACAAACCTATGGTTCAAGTTTTACCTTTTCAGAGGCTTCCCCTTGCCCAGTCTCAGTCATCTTCCTTTTCTGTTTCTCGCCACTGTCAGAGTTTGGGGCGGGGGGCAGACAGTGGACTGTGCTTTCTCTCCTAGAGCCAAAAATCTGCACTCGTGTGTGATCTTGGATTTGAAAAATGTGAAAATCACATATCCTTAATTTCATTTTCTAGAAGGGGAAGTAAAACATATTGGAAGGAGGCAGAGGAGAACCAACGTGGATGGTTGGAAAGAGGCCAGAAGGCCACCCTGTCCCTCTTCCCATCCAGCATGGGCACCCCTTGCTGGCATCCCCCAGAAGTGGCCAGACAGCCTCTATTTGAACATTTTCAGGGATGGAAGGCTTATAACTTTTGAAGCAATCAATTGAAGGAAGACCTTTCCTTTTCTCACAGGAAATGGCCAGCAATAAAGAGTAGAGAAACAGGTTCCCACTCGTGTAGGACCTCTTCTGTGAGGAACAAGGAAATTGTTTGAAGACGAAGATTCCCTGAGGAAGCAAACAAGCAGCAGAACACCTCAGCAGCCCTCAGTGGTGTTTTGCCCTTCATGCTTACAACTGCAGCATGTACGGAAGCAGTGGGTCATGTCTGAGTGCAGTGGAGTACCTTTCAAGAGTTGGAAATAACCTGCAATGAGATGTTGGGCTTTGGTACTCCGCCACTTAAATGTCTCTTTAACCCAGACCCTGTGTATATGTCTTCAGTCTGGAAACTTTTTCATCTGAAAATACCCCAGCTTGAAAATGCCTTTTAAGCAGACCTTATTTTCTTTCCTTTTCAGAATTTTTGACAAAACAAGTCTCAAAATCATCTCTATCAACCTTCTCATTTTACAGAGAGAAACCGAGGCCCAGGGAGGGAGAGCAATTTGTCAAAAGGCATGCTCTTCACATGTCTTATCTTCCATCCTCCAACAATGTTTGTTAGGAGGTGCCTTGGCCCACTTTCAAAGTTCAGTTTTCTCCTAATTCTTCTCTTCACTGACCTCAGGTGACAGACCCTACTTTCTAAGGGAACTCTTAATTTTTGAAGTTTCTACTGGCCTCTGGGCAATGAGGGGAGCAAGGAAATTCACTTGAATGGCCACCATGTTGAGGGATAGCCTGACTCAAGGGTGACTCTATTACAGGAATGACTTCCACAAGACATAGCAGAGAAGTATCCAGAATGCTCAAGACTTAGCCAAAGAAATCTAAGAATACTTCTCTTTGAGATGAGTGGGATCAAGTGGTAGAGTTGTAGGGGTCAACAATAGTTCTGTACTAGCACCTCTAACTGACCATGAGTGAAATCACTTTTTTATGTGCCTTGGTTTGTTCAAATCTAAAATGGAGCGTATGTACAGTGATATACAGCACTGCCTATTTAAAACATGCTGTTTTAAAGAAAGTAGCAACTGATCTATGAGGTATTCCCTAAGCTTACCAAAGCCCTGTCTCTCCAAGGTATATCTTGAAGATGATCAAAGTTAACTATGATAGCAACACTTCGGGATCTAAAGAAATTGAATGATTAAATGTGGAGAGTTAAACATTTTGGGTTTTAATGACAAACCTGAAGATGGGAAATTCCAGTGTGGGCAGTAGTCTTTACAAGAAGGGATAATTAGACAAAAATATCATCTTAATGGGTTTCCATGCTTTGGGTTTCTCTTTCTTTCTTTCTTTCTTTCTTTCTTTCTTTCTTTCTTTCTTTCTTTCTTTCTTTCATTCTTTCTTTTTTTAATCTAGGGGATGAAGATTTGATCACAGAATTCCTAGAATGAAAGAAAGATGATCAAAGCATAGATAAACTTTCAGAATTTCCACAATTCTGAGAAAGGTGCCTTCACTAACGTGCCATGTTGGTAACATCAGGATTCTCTTTTTAACCACATCCCAGGACCCAGTAATATAGAGACTAAAAACACCCAAGTTGACTAATACATCCTCTGCAACCCATCACAATTTTAACTGGTGGCTTTGGAAATTTTCAGAATGAAAATCTGCCTTATGAATCAGCTAGAAATTGCATCTGTTGACAGTCTGTTTGATTTCATTAGAGACCTCTCCCCCCTGAGGAATAAAAAGTCTTGTTTATTTTAAGACTGGGTTCCTTCTCTTGGAGGAAAAGGTCTGAGATGAGATTCTTTCTTATCCTGGGGTGGTTCCTAAACCATATGTTAATCCCAGAAACTCAACCCACTTCACTCTCTTTGGCCACCAGGTCCTCATTTGCCTCTTGACTGGACTTAAAATTTTAGGGGCCTCACAACTTATCTCTGTGCACCTGATCTCCCTCCACTCTATGCCAGAGTCACCTCCACAGAGGTGTCTGCAATGAATGGAAAGAGCATAAGTCAGGGAGCCCTGGGTTTGAACGTCAACTCTGTTCCTGTCTGTGTGACTTCTGAGTTTTGGGTCCTTCATCCAGTGAGTTTGTGACATCCACACTGTGAAGCGGTTATGAAGATGAAAATAAGACTTACATGTCTGGCACATAGAAGGTACTCTTTAATGGTCATGGCCATTTTTATTTTCTAGTAGTCATTCACTGACTACCAAATGAGGTTAAAGTTTTTAACTTGCTATCTAAGGCCTTGGATCATTCATTTGACCCTATCCTATCTTTTCAGACTTGATCCCCAACGTCCCCACATGCCCATCCAGTGTTGGGGGCCACAGCAGACCACTTGCTCTTCCCTCATCCTCTGCTGTGTCTTTGCTCATAGGGGCCTTTCTATCTGGAATGTCCACTTGGGGGAAACTTACTAGTCTCTCAGTGCTCCTTTTGCATGCTACTCTCATGAAGCTTCTCTGTTAGTCCTGCTCACATAGATCCCATCAAATTCTAATCTGTAGTACTGTTATGATACCCATGCCTTTCTCTCCCTTACTAAGTTTTAAGTCTCTCAAGGATTGAGACTATGTCTTGTTCATTTTCATATTTCCTACAGTGTTGAGATGGGGACTAAGAGGTATTGAATAGATTTTTGGAGACCTGAGTGAATGGAAAAGTCCTCGTAATACTCCCACTTGCCACGCTGCCACCAAGACCATTCATATCTTCAGATAAGTCACCAGTAGCTAGCAATGACACAAGTTTACTTGAAATGTGTTTCCCAGAGATATTGTAAAGGCTTTTCGGTTTTAACTTGGACTGTCCTCCCACTTCGCAAAGATTGTGCTGAAACAGAAATCTTCTTATAAGCCTTCCAGAAATTATGCCTTCTTCAACTCCATAGTGAAGAAATTCCTACCCCTGGGTCAGTTCACAGCTCAACATAACCTAGTTACTTCACCAAGTAAGCAAAAAGGCGCCTTATATGCAACAACATGTTTCACTTAACACATCTTTCTATGGCCAGTTAGCATTATTATTCATCTAGAAATTAAGGCTATGAAATTGTAGACTTTGATATCTTATCTGTCTTCCTGGTAAGCAAGGGAAGAAGTTATTAGAAAATTCACACTCAATTAGGAAAGGTGGTTTGAGGTAGAAGTTAGTGGTTTCTTATTTGTTAAAAAAAAAAGATCTTTGACAAAACCCATTTGAAAGGATGAATGAAATCCAAAATTTGCATATGTGTGTGTGTGTGTATACACACACACACATATGTATACATGCATATATACACATGAAAATATAAGAAAAAGTAGAGTTCTGAAAGTGAGTACTCTTACGCTTTCTAAAATTTCTATAACATTGCACATGTAAGGAAAATCCTAGGCATTATTTCCTGAGGCAGTAAAAAACAGCATATACATCCTTGAAGCAAAACTTAAATTATCCCGATGTTTCCTATATCGGTTACTAGCATCTCAGGACATTACCCTGGTCTTAGAGAGATTCCTAGTAGATTTTTAGTGTTATCTTACAGCTGGTTGGTGCAGTGAAAAACTGAATCCATTGGAATATAAGAGAACATTTCTTGAGGAATCTGCTCATTAGTATCCTGTTAACATTCAAATATCATGCCACTCTATTCACCCCAGAGGTAACAAAGACAGAGTGGCAGAAGATCCCACCATTTCAAGCTCTGTTTATAGATCAGGGATGACTGAAGCATGACATGGGGCCCTGGTGGGTCATGGACAAGGGGTAGACCCCGAGATTCAACCCCTTTGTCCGCATTTTGTACTTAGGTGCCCTCCCCCTGATTCTGTGCTGGGAAGAGGTAATATCCATTAGCCTTCCCAAGATTCTGAGGGCACCCGTGACCTCTTACCTGTCATGTAGCCAGATACTGTGATGAGTGTAGAGATTCCCCACATCAGCAAGCTTGGCTCCATCTTCCTGGCACGTGGGATCAGCTGAGGGCAGCAAAGAGAAGGTGTTTCTTTGCAGAAGGCCGAGTTTCCTATCAGCCTCTTATTTACATCATGCTGGGAGGATGGGAGATGAAAGGATATCAGCCTGTTCAGGGTGTCAACCTTGCTGTGGTCCCTCTAGTCTCTGTAACAGTCTGGAGTTGCTCTCTTTAAGTATTAGGCTGCTTTGTTCAGTCAGGAAATTGTGCCTAGCCCTCTCTACTGTCAAATATAGGAAGTGGTTTTAACCAGGTTTTTTTTCAAGTTCAATTGCTGGGAGGTGTGGGCTGGGGTTGGTGAGAAGGATTGGACTTCATTTATGAATCCTTTCTTCAGCTTCACCCAGAGAAGGGAAGGGAGATTCCCCTGCTGCTGAAAGAGGGTGAGCAAGCATTTCTTGGCAGTGGTCTCATTTAGCATTTCATAAATTGACATCACTGTGAAATTGAGGTCCTCCGCCAGACTTACTGCTCCCTGAGGAGTCAGCAGGTGCCACACGAGATGGGGGGAGGGACCATGGCGGGGTCTTCAATATTGAGGTAATTGAAAAGGAAGCAGAAGACTGACCCATACTCAGAATTCATGAATTGTCTCCCGAGATCTATATTTGGTAGTGGCTATAATCATTTCACCATAATGCCCAGGTTCTTGAATGTGAATTGTCATTTTACAAGATATTTTGCCTCCAGATTTGTCTTTCTCTTAAAGGATCATACTAAAAGTGGGCTTTGGGGGCACGTGGGTGGCTCAGTTGGTTAAGTGTCTGCCTTCAGCTCAGGTCGTGGTCCCAAGGTCCTGTGATGGAGTCCCGCATCGGGCTCCCTGCTCATCAGAGAGTCTGCTTCTCCCTCTCCCCTGCCCCTGCTCCTGCTCTCTCTCTTTCTCTCTCTCACTCTCTCTCATGCATGTGCTCTCTCTCTCTAATAAATAAATAAAATCTTTTTTAAAAAGTGGGCTTTGGTTTTAAACTTTGGATTTTTTTTTTTTTTTGCAAAATTAAATCTTTCTTCCTTGTTTAATTATCAGAGTTATCTTCTGCTTTTCATGAAATGGTTGACTATGTTTTACCATCTGGAAATTCATGTCCATTAGCAATCATCTAGTTATAGTAAAATAAAATTTTTTAAAATATTCAAAAGCAAGCAAAAGAAGACCATCTGTGCAAACCGAAGCAGTTCACGGTTCCAATGTGTATTATCTCCACCTCTGACATTCTCTCAGAAAAGTAACTACCTCTGAAGAGAGCCTTGGAATTCTGCAAATGAACTAAGAGTAGTTTCCAAGCTGAGTACCAGACTTTGAAGAGAAAAATAGTCAACTGATCTCTTCCTGGGAGTGAGATGCTTATCAAAGTGTGACAAGATTATTTTTTTAAGATTCCAGAGAAGGTTTAACCTCACTGCTAGAAACATTTTCAACCGTATGCATTAGTGCGGCAATCCCTGTTATCCCCAGAGTCTGTCCCAGTGATTAAAAGCTCTAGCTTAGTGGAGTTTTGCTAGATAGAGTTATCATTGTATAATTTTGAAACAAACTTACAGAAAAAATTTTAAGTATAATACAAATACCTCCTCCCAATAAACTATGTAAGAGTAGTTGCCAGTGCGATGTTCCTTTGCCCCTGAATACTTCAGTGGGTATTTCCTACCAACAAGGAAATTCTCCAACAGCACTACAACCATCAATTAGGAAACAATGTTGATGCATTACTACCATTCAGTCCTTAGATCCAAGTTTCTCTAGCTGTCTCAGTAACGTCCCTCACAGCAAAAGGATCCAATTCAGAACCATTTGTTGCATGTAGTTGTCATGTGTCTTTAGCAGGTCCTTTGTCTTTTGTTGGTTTTCAAGACCTGACATATTTGAGGATTACAGATGAGTCATTTTGTAGATTATCTCTCAATTTGGATTTATATATTGTTTCCTCATGATTAGATTTAGGTTTTGCATCTTTGGCAGGAATAACCAGAAGTGGTGCTGTGTTCTTACCATCACACCCTTTTATCCCATTACTGATGATGTTTACTTTGGTCACTTGATTAAATAAAGAGGTATCTTCCAGGTGCCCCCACTTTAGAGACAGTTTTCCTCTTTGTAATAAATATTTTGTGATGTGATGTAAATATCCATTATTTATTCATTTATTTGTATCTATGTGGACTCATGATTTTTTATTTTATTCAGTGGGTTATAATCTATTACTATTACTTGTTTCAGTGCTTAAATTGTCTCCATTTGTCAACTGGGAGCCCATTCAAGCTGGCTTCTGTGTCATTTTGATGTGCCCCATCATTCCTCTCGAGTACTTCTTGCTTTGGGGGCATAAAAAGATTTTCTGGGCTGATCTTTGACTTTCTCTGTCCCAGCCCTGGAATCAGCCATTTATCCAAAGAGCCCTGGTTCCTTTAGAGGAAAATAATCTTTAGAAGCCAAGATGTGCTCATTGCCATCGGGGAAGAACTAATCCCAGGCTCTTCCAGTGGACAAAGCTAGGGAATATATGCATATACAATATATACATGTACACATGCATGCACACACACACACACATTCACCCACTCACCTTTGCATCTATATGTATTTCTATACCCATCAATACATATTGAAAATCATGAGTTCACGCTGACATATCCCAACATCCCAATTCCAATCTAATACCACAGAGTTGAATTCTAGTTTTTTCCTTTCCTACATTTGTAACTCCCTTCCCTGACAGTGGAAAATTTGGTTTCCATTATCTCTAGTCTCTTTAATTTTTGATAAATCCCCCTTTATGTTATCAGCCTCTGATCCCTGCCACCATCCCTTGCCCCACATGGATTCCCTTCTTTCCCTGCTCAGATGCTGAGTTCCTATTCTGAGCCAGCCCCCAAACTCTGAGGGAATGACCTCCTCCTGAAAAGGCTCTGACACCCCTTAACAGGCTAGCCCCCCACACCTCCACGGATGTCCTTTTGACCCTGCTTGGGTGCTGCGCCACTGGGCTGGGCCCCTCCTTTTGGGGATGATCTCTACTTGCTTGAGTTCTGCTACCAGCCCCATGTGTGAACCTCCTTCCCATCCCGCTTGGGCTCAGAGAGCCCCTGCCAATCTGCCTTTGCTAGTGGACCCCTCTCACCCTGATCAGGTTCTAACTTCCTCCACGGGCCGCTCCCTGTGGGGACCCCGTGTTCCACTCTGCTTGGACCCTGACTCCTCATTCCAGACCGTCTCCCCAGGGAGACTCCTTCCTCACTACCTTTGGGCTGTGAGCCCACCACCATTCTGGGCTACTGTGCCACCTCCCACCAGAAACCACATTCGTCTCCCTTGCTTTGCTCTGCCTGAAAGCTTTAGGACTGAAATGTTCAAAAAAGGAAGAAGAGACAGGTTAGTGGCTACCAGCAAGAGCAAAGTAGTAAAAGGAAAATAAGGCCGCAACGTGAAATCTGGACTAGCTCAGAGAGCGAGCATATATGTAATGAAGAAGCAAATAAAACCACGATTACCTCCAAGATTTGTAATGTGCTTCATGTTTTTCTTAAACTCTAGGAGGTCTAAGGAATTAATATTTCTTTTTTTTTTTTAAGATTTTAATTATTTATTTGAGAGAGAGACTGAGAGAGAGAGAGCATGAGAGGGGGGAGGGTCAGAGGGAGAAGCAGACTCCCCGCCGACCAGGGAGCCCGATGCGGGACTCGATCCCGGGACTCCAGGATCATGACCTGAGCCGAAGGCAGTCGCTTAACCAACTGAGCCACCCAGGCACCCCTAGAAAAATAAGGCCGCAACGTGAAATCTGGACTAGCTCAGAGAACGAGCATATATGTAATGAAGAAGCAAATAAAACCACGATTACCTCCAAGATTTGTAATGTGCTTCATGTTTTTCTTAAACTCTAGGAGGTCTTAGGAATTAATATTTCTTGATGGAAAGTGACAATTACCTAAAGTCCACTAATACCTTCAATTTTATGTCAGTTTCTTTTTCTTTTATGAAGTTAAAGAAAAATTAAATTTAATGATATTTATTTACAAATTGTTTGGGGATCAAAGAAATACTAACCAGGACTCATAATGTACATTTGGGTTAAAGTAGACAGCAAAAGTTAATCTCACAAATTAATTAATTTCTTTATAAAATAATCAAAATTTGAAGCATGATTTGTTTTTGCTTTACAACAAAACCTCCCTCAGGTCCGCCTCATAATAATTCGAAGAGCTAAATCTATTTTATTTTATTAGTAACAAAGTGATAAAATATTTTTTTTAAAGATTTTTTTATTTATTTGAGAGAGAGAATGAGAGAGAGAGAGAGCACATGAGAGGGGGGAGGGTCAGAGGGAGAAGCAGACTCCCCGCCGAGCAGGGAGCCCGATGCGGGACTCGATCCAGGGACTCCAGGATCATGACCTGAGCCGAAGGCAGTCGCTTAACCAACTGAGCCACCCAGGCGCCCCACAAAGTGATAAAATATTAATAAAATAGGTTAAAGACCTTTTATTTTTCATTTTTATGATTTAAAAAAGTATAAATTAAAAATATATATATTATTTATTATTTTGAGAGAGAGAGAGAGCACATGCATGCACGAGTTGGGGGAGGGAAAGAGGGAGAGAGAGACTCTTAAGCAGACTCCCCACTGAGCCAGGAGGCTGATGTAGGGCTCCATCGCAGAACCCATGAGATCATGACCCGAGTTGAAACCAAAAGTCGGCCGCTGAACCGACTGAGCCCCCAGGCGCCCTGGTACACAAACTGTTAAAATGAAAATAGTGATTCAGGGGGCCTTTAAAACCATATAGCTGTCATTTTTATGAGGTGTGTTGGCTTAGTTAGATCCTCATAACAGAGGCCACATTTGACAGTCCTACAAACTGTCTTACACTGGTATGTTGGGGGAAAGAGAGGAGCATAGAAATTGCACACTGGTCCAAAAAAACTATCAGCTGATTTGCCTCCATTTTCAAGAAATTTCAGGTTGCATTTTTTCATTTTCACTTGGAAATGTTAGAGCTTGTTGCTTGTTCGTGTCAGTCCCAGTGGCAGAACCATGTAAAATTTTTAGTCACAGAAGTGAGTCAGCAGGACTTTGTGATATAAATGTTGGGTATTCACCAAACTGAACAATGTCATGAACACATGATGAAATTAAAACTCAGTTACATGACAGACCAGAGACCAGTAAATGACAGCCACAACATGACAGTGTGATGGAGACCACCAGCAGTTCACCAAAATCATTCTTCCTTTCTTCTTGGGCAAATGA